TAATATATATAAGGTAGAAAAAAGTACGGAGGATGAGAGCGTTGAAAACGCGAACCCGGAGTACTTTAATAAAGTAAATTCGGTGGACGAAGGGGAGCCGCAGGGTCCCCCAGCGAGGTTGACCCGACCGGAGGGAGAGGTCCCGAGCGACGAGGTAACCAAATTTACATACTACTACGTGAACATATAAGTTTGTGGTGCGTCTATTTATTTTTGTGAATGAAATATAAAAATTATAATATTGAAATTATTGTGATGGTATTAATATTTTTTTGAATAATCTATTTATCATTTATGCTGGACTAATAATTGTAGGTGGTGTTTAATTAAAATATGTGACGAAATAATTTATTTTTTTGACTAAATAATTAATAAACTGACTTAATGATTATTGAAAATGGTGGGAATCGAAAACCCAGTGAATAACACTGTAGTATTATTTTGGCTGGAATTTTATACATTTTATTGTGGTGTTTTGTGATGATTTTGAATTATTAATTTAAAAATATACTATATTATACCGTTAAATTTGAGGATTTTTACCTAAAAAAGAAACTCTGATAATAACAACAATACATTTTTAAATCTTTTATTGTCTTTTAAATTTAAAAAATTTAATCAGACCGTTTTCTATGATAAAAACAAAGTCCGAATTATTTAAAAATTTTAAGTTGAAATATGTAAGTTGTACAAAAAATAGTCGTTTTTTCATATTGTTAAGAAAATCTCTGAGTAAGTAAAAGCACTTTTATAAAATAAAAAAAAGAAGAAACACGAAAAGGTATAAAAATAACACTGGGTCCGATTTTTGAAATAAGGTTTAATATTATGAGAAATTTTTTGAAAACACCAAAAATATTTGTTTCAACATTTTTACCAATTTTTTCATTTTTACTCAATTCCCGTTTTTTAAACAAAGATCAATTATTTTTTTGTCAAAAAGACAACCTTTGGGGAACAGACAACGTTTATTGACTGACTCAATAATATATTTTAAAATATAATCAAAAATTCCTTTATTTAACAAACAATATTTTATAATTCAATAAAAATGTTAAATATACATTATAGAGTTGTTATAGAAACCAGTGCAACTTGTTCAAAAATGTTGTGACTGAGTTAAATAATTAAAAATTTTGAAATTATGTTATTTTTTATTTATTATAAAAGAAGGATAAAAACCTGAAGTAGAATAACAACACAATTCATTTACAATAAGCAAACAATATCAAAATAAGTCTCCTCACAAAAAAATCATCGTTTCTTTTCTCTCATGCCTTATTAGTAACAGTTACATCATCCATTTCTCTTCTTCTTCTCTTCAACCACTTTTTCATATTACATTAAATTAAACTTGTTCTTCAAGTTTAATTTCCATGCTTTTATCCTCAACATCATCTTCTTCGACTTCTTGAATCATATACTCGCAGAACCATATTGGTTAATTTTTACAAAAACCAAGACGCCGACGTCATATCCATTTTGATACAATATAACATTTACTGTCTTGTTTAAATTTCAGTTTTTTGCTTCAACACATCCCCGATCATAATTATGCATCCTATTATTGTGGTTAAATTTCCTTCTTTGTTTGGTCCAATTTATAGTGTATCATGTATTCTTTGTTCTAACTATTTATTGTACTTATACATCTTTTCCGTCTGCGAATAATCATGTTCCCATCTAATATTCAATCAAAACAAGCACCAAATGAAAAACACTATTCAGTTTTTTTAGTTTAAACTCATAATATTTTGGTAGAAATTCTACAAAAACATGAAAATGGAGGGAAAGTGGATAGAATATGGTTTTGTTTTAAAAAGAATATTTTAGGGCAATTGATCTTTTTTAGTTTATTTGTTGAACCTTTTGTTTTGAAAATAAATAAACTTTGTTTTTCGTGTTGTTTTTAAAAGCCAACTTTTATTATATTGATACCTAAAAAACTATTGAGATTGTCCACAAAATAAATATAATACGAAAAGAAAAAATAATAATAAAAATAAACGAATTGCACTATCAAAAAAACAGTTTTATTTTTAGGATCCCCTCTTTTTTACTCAGTCACCCCATTTTTGCAAAATTTGCACGGGTTTTGTCTAAAACAATAAATTTTATAGTATTTATATTTATTTAAAATAGATAAATAACTTCTTACTACTTTTTTTGCTCTTCTTATCAACAACTATTTTTAACTAATATAATTGTAATTTCAAATATAATACAAATTAATATTTGAATAGATTAGTTTAAAAGTAAAATATTCAGCTTTCATGGTAAACAATTTTATATATTTTAATATACACAGTTAGTTTCACAACAATTCCTTATTTTTCATAACAAATAAATTTCTGTTTCATAACAATTTGATTTGTATTGACATTATTGTATATATTTTATTTATAATTGAAAATGCAGTCTGTTAAATGTTAATTAATGTTTTTAATAAAGCATATATAAACTGTATATTTTAAAATAATTAAATAAAAGATAAACTTTTAATTTTATTGTGCTCAAATCAAATAAATAATACATTTCGTATAAATTTTAACTTTACATCAAATAATAAAAAAGAGAAAACACTGCAAAATAATAGTAGTTAAGTAGATTTAAAACGCTTTCTACTTCTTTATAGCTTTTTTGTTTTTATATATAAAAGATATTAAATAAAAAATGATAGGTACTGTTTACCACTAAACCTTAAATATACAATATGAAAATTTTTTAAATACAAAGTGATAATTTGTTGTTAAAAGTTTGGCGTCAAACATAAACTGTTTGATTAGAATAAATTTTAAAATATCAATATTTTTTACAACCATTTTAGTTATTGAATTGTGTATATCTGTATAAATAAGTATATTATATACGATTATCTGGACTACTAAGAGGTAATTAATTATTATTGATTAAATATTATTGGATTTTGTAAGACAATATAACTTTTTATGTTTAATCAACTACAAAACACTTTTAAATGTATGAGAATTAAAAAAACAGTAACAACTCGAATGTTTTAAAAAAGTAAAGAATGCAACCAACAGTCAAGAAATTATTTTTATTTTGTTATTTTATTGTTTATATTACAATAACACCCAGAATTCAATTATCTAACTTCCAATCATTTAATTGGGCTTACATGATACCGATAATTTACTTTTCTGAACTGTTTCATCTTTTTTTCTAGTTTCATGTTATTGAAAATCGGTCAGTGTTGATTTGCAACAAAAAATTATGCCTTTTTATAACAATATATTTAATACAATATTTTTAATTTATATTTTGACAGATATTTCATGATATTACTTTTAAAAGAAAATCAATGTCATTGTTTGCATCCACAATAGTCATTAAGATTATAAGCTGAAAATGATCACATATCAATTACAAGTGTATGTTTTAAGAAATTACATAAACAGTTTTTAGTCAACAATTTTATAAAGCAAATATATGCTAAAAATACTACATACAAATAATACATCTACGACTATTGTGTTAATAGCGGAAAAATAGTAACAAATTTTTGTTGCGTGTTTGATGAAATTTCAATTGTTGAATTATGATAAAAAAATATTTAAATATGTTATTAAAGATAGTTTATTATATAAAACAACAATAATTTTATAATTAATTATTATTCAATTAAACAATAAAATTATAATCAATTTAATTATAATGATAATTGTTACAAACTTATAGTTAAGTTATTATTAATTTTACTAATAAATAAAAATTAATTCCATAATGTTATTTTAAAATAGTAATTCATTTTATAACACAATGAAAACACAGTAATAAAGTAATTGAAGTGTTCTTAAGGTGTGTTTGGTTAAAATGGTATTTCTTCATGTCAATAATTAATAATTAAAATTTGTTAATAAAAATATTATAATTTGTAATATAATGTATATAATTACAGGTTAAATAATATAATACATGTCAAGAATGTTCACATAAACCAAAGAATAAATAAAATTTAATTGTAATAATAGTAACTATAATAATCAAATAATTAGTTCTAATTACTATTTTATTATACTATTTCGAATTTATTCAACATTATTTTTTTGAATTTTTATATTATTAAATTATATCAAAATATTAAATTTATTATACTTTTAGTTTTTTGTTAATTTTATTAAAAAATTATGTTCAGAATGAATTTAAATTATTAATTAATAGATTAATAATAATTTATTAATAGTTTAATTAATTATTTTAGTTTAAGTGTGACTTTATTTTACTATTAATATTAAATTGTTATTAATTTCTTATATAGTTTATATAAATGAAAATATTTGTTTTAAAAAATGTTATTTGATTGTTTTTGACAAAATGTATTGTTTCATAATATATTATTTATTACATAATTTAATACATAAATATATTATCATAGGTTAAACATTAGTTGATATATAGTTAATATTATTATATTGCTATAATAAATTTGTATAATTTATTATATTATGTGTATACTATTATAATTAACCAGTTGTTAATAGTTTCAATACTAAACGTTATTACTATCAAACTATTTTAATATTCTAAGGATGAGGTGAGTTTTATTTTAATTTGCCAAAAAATATTTCAGTGTAAAAAAACAAAATTTTCCGAGGCATGGATTATTTGTTGTATGTTTTAAAGTGGTTTAATTAAAAAGATAATCTAATAAAATGTGAAATTATTGCAAAAATTATTTATCTGCTAATCATTGTATCCATTTCACGTGGAATTGTGAATGCATGTGATATTTGTTGATTATCTGTTTTGAAATCTTAAATTAATTATCACGTCTTTTCATTATATTTTTAAATACGATCTAAAATTTAAATAAGTCATTTATTTATGATCAATTTTTTTGAGTTTTTTAATGGGCAAAATTATTTAGTTTATTATAAACGAACAAAAATCCTTCTTATAATATTTACCTGTTAATATTAATTAAGAATCATTGTCTTGTTGAATTTCAAAACAATTATTTAGTACACTGATTTTGCCTTTTAACCACTTACATTCGTTGAAACAACATATTCCATATTTTTCAATGTTTCCCTTCAACGCCAATGTACTCAAATTTGTGCATCAAAACAATAATGTGAAATTTCCACAACGTTTGTTGGTAATACAACTTTTTTTCAAATTTAAACAATTGTAAAAAGCAAAATCACCAATTTCTGTGACATGCTCTGGAATTTCAATTTTGGTCAATTCAGTGTTATTGAAGAAACAGCCTTCATCAATTCTGTGAATCAAATTATTCGATTGAATTTCATTAATCATTGTAGTAGTCCCATATTTAAGAACATCACTTCTCTTTACTACAACATTCTCACAATAAATGGGTATATTTTTCATTTGTAAATAAAACGTATAACTCACTTCAAATTTGTATATTTCTTTTTCTGTGCCAATTTGCAGAGATGTAATTCTCTCACACCCTTCAAACACATCGACTCCACATATAACACTGGAATTATAAATAACAACTTTTTCAATGTTTTTGCAGTCATAAAACGCGCCGTCATCTGCATTTACAACATTTGATGGTATTTCAATTTTTTTCAATGCGACACATTTTCTAAAACTGAAAGCTCCAATTCTTGTGACACTTTTTGGGATATCGATTTTTGAGAGTGACAAACATCTATAAAATTCGAAATCACAAATTTCTTTGCAATTTTGACTCAACGAAATTTGACACAGCGATTTACATTCAAAAAACATCGCAACGTTTATATTCTTTATAACTGGAACTTCTTTCAGTGAAACACAAAAAGCGAAAAACTTTGTTCCATATATCACATCGTCGTTTTCACAAAACACTTTTGTGAGGGAATAACACTTCTCAAAACTACTGTCCCCAATGGTCTGAATATTTTTTGGTAATGTTATTTCTTTAAGTGAATAACACGACAAAAATGCCTCGTTTTTAATATTTTTCAACTTCTGACTGAAAACAACTTTTGTCAAAAAATCACAACAAGAAAATGCGTTTTCCTCTATCACAGAAATATTTAAAATTTCGACTGAACGGATTGAAGAATTTTCACAAGAATATTTAGCCATTTCAGTGACTTCTTTTGGTATAATTAGATGCTTTGTCTTTATCAGTAAATTGTTATATGGTGCCACAAGTGGTGGAACATTCTCAAATATTTTATTTTCCAGCGTTTTAGTTTCCAATTCAAATTGATGCACTTCGCTCATTTCAAAATTGTTTCCAACAACATCAAAATCGTCATCGGTGAACTCGATATTGTCGAAGTGATACCCACAATTCAAAAGTCTCAAATGACAACAGTAACTCACAACAAATTTATCAAAATCACTTTTTGTGTTATTTCCAATATGAATTTTAGTAAGTTTTTTGTTGTCAGAGAAAATGTGTTTTCCGATGTCTATCAAAGTGTCTGGCAGTGTTAATTCACAAAGATTATTAATTCCAAAGAATGCATTATTTACAATTTTAGTTATAGTACTTGGTATTATAATTTGAGTCACATCAACTGGAACACATGTGACATAATAAAGTGTGTTTACATAATCAGGAATATTTTTTAATAAGTCTCCTGTTAATATTTGATTTTTTAAAATTACCTTTTTGGTGTCTAATAAGGTAATGTTGTTATCACTTTTTACTATTTTAATTTCAGTAAGACTATTGCAATTACTGACAAAATTTTCGCTAATTTTAGTCACTGTGGACAGAATAACAATTTTCGTTAATTTTTGACAATCATAAAACGTGTTTTCCTCAATTTCTTTGACGCCATCTGGGATCTCAAAAACTTCAAATTTACAATGTATAAAATTGCAATTGAATTGTTTTGTGTTTTTTGAAGACACTATTTGCGTCAAATACTCGAAATTTATCGCGTTGTTGCATATTGCAGTTGCGTATTTAGGGACAACAATGTTCTTTAAATGATTATAATGGCTAATACAACAGTTACCAACAAGTGCAACTGTCGATGGGATGAATAATGAAGTTACAGATTTTAATACAAGTTGGTAGCTATCAAGTTGCTCCAAAGACGTGTTCAAATCAATATGAGTAATTTCTCCATTTTCATTCAACTCGATTTTTGTTATATCTGAAAAGTCCATTTCGGCATTTTCTTCGTTATCATTATTAAATAACACATTTTCAATATATTTAGTATCACTTTTTAAATCGAAGTTTGCTAATGTTATCAACTTGTTTTCTGTGACTTCAATTTTATTCTTTTCTGTGTAAGGAGATATTAATATTTTAGTTAGCTTGTCGCATTTGTCTATCACGCCAAGTCCAACAAAAGCGGTTTTATTTATAACGGTAAATTCCTCTAAATTTTCGCATCCCGAAAATGCAAACTTTCCGATATAACGGACGTTCTTTTTCAATTTCGCTGTTTTGAGATTTGTAAATAATTAAAAGCATAATTTCCTATAAATTCCAAATTATCATTGAAATTGAAATATTCGAGTGAACCACAATATTTGAAAGCCAAATTGCCAATTTCGATTAACTTATCAGAGATTTCGACTATTTTAAGATTATAACACAATTCACACATTGAGTTTGGAATGTGTGACACACCATTCAGAACAATTCTTGTCAAATACCCATTCGAACTGAAACAGTCTGCGCCAATGTCACAAAATTCAGGAATTGTAACATCGACAAGTTTCGCATTTGAAAAAGCGAAAGATCCAATGAATTGAAGACTGTTTGGAAAGTTTACGTTTTCAAGTTCAGAACATGCAACAAAACACGAATTTGGTATCATTGTGATATTTTCAGGTAATTTGACTTCTTTCAATGAACTGCAATACGCAAATGCACGTTCTCTTATCATTTTGACTGTCGAAGGAATTTCTATTTTTGTGAGACCACACGATTCAAAAGCCAACTTGTCAATTTCAGTGACATTAGATGGTATTGAGATTTCTATCAACTCGTCTTTGTCATCAAAAACAGCACAATCAAGTGTGGAAACTATATCTGGAATTTTATTTCCATTTTTTTCAACATCTTCTGATGTATAACGGACGTTTTTGTACACTTCGAAATTGGTGTTCTTTTCTATGAACTCTGTATAAGAAACAAAATATAGAAATATATGACGATCAACTGTCATGATGATGTCATAGGGAGTATATACAATTTGAGTCTGAATATTTTGAAATAAACGTTTTGAGTCGGGACTTATTCGAATAGGGTTGATCCGGAAACGGTCAAGTATAAACTCATATTTCTTGCAAATTTGGATGATTGAAAGATAATCGGTTGGCGTTAATAAGTATTTTGCAATAATTTGCATTGAAAAGACGTCAATTTTCTTCATTAAATCGTAATTTTTTATTTTAGTTTTTAATGTTTTTAAATAATCTTTCTAACCGAGTCGACCTCATAAACTGTTCGATCAAAATTCATTAAATTCGGGAAAAAAAGCGAATAAAAAATTTGTTAATGTTATAAATAATTTGTTTATTTTTAAATTTTTATATTATACTTTCGCTAAATTTATTATGAATTAAAGAAATGCTGATTTCTATTTGTTAAGAAGTTTAATATTGTAATTTGACACCGTTTAATACAATTAATAAATGAACAATACTATAGATAAAATAGGTTTAATGCTATTTTGTGTTTAAAACTTTTAATTATAATTCATTTTAGAAAATAATATTGTCCATTGATAACCACAAAATAATTGTGTGTAACAATATAACTAAATATTATCGTGATAACAAACAATGAGTTTGTTAAATTAAAGTTTAATTATATTAAATATAATTTAAATATAATTATTCAAAGTAATGTTTTAAGCCAAAATATGTTTTTTCAATGCAAATTGTTACGACATTGAAAGTTATAATGAAATTATTAACATTAATATTTATATGCAGTATAATGGTTTAGATATAAAACAAATATATTCCTTTTCCAGTTAAAGAATTAACGATACCCCCATATATTAATATAAATAAAGCATTTAAAAAAATTAACAATTTTGGGCAAATAAAATTATAAAAAAAAATAATTTGAAGAACTCTTAAAACTCATTATTATAATCACAATGAAAGAATTTGGTTATTTTTTTCATTTGAAGAAAGAAGGGCCTATCGAAGAAATAACAGAAAAAAGGTATTTGAGATGTATGGTATGACTGCATCGCCATTCAATATAGGGCACGTTAAAAAAGAAGAAATTATTGAAGAATTAAAAGAACAAGAATTTGAATATTTCCCAATATTCAAAATACCATCAGAAGACATAGAGTTTGAATATTGTGGAAAGTATTTAATAAGTAAATTACTTGATGATCATTTCAACACCTACAATGATACAATCAAAAAAATGTCCAAAACAAATACTTTAACAATAGAACCTTTAGAAAACTTGTTTCCAACACAGTTAGTGTCTTCTACTTCAATCAAATTAAACAAAAATGAAAATGAAAAAAGGAAATTATTATATGTTAAAATACTCATTCATTATTTGGGGTGTCGAAATGCTCATAATACGGCCAATGTTTTTAATGTTTGTCCCCAAACAGTGATTAATATTTATAGGAGAGCCATGAATAATGAAGATTTATTGGGGCAACAGAGAGGTCCAAAGGTTGGACAAAACAACAAAGTTGATTATCATACATTGACTCTTATAATCGACGAATTGAGAAAGAACAACCAGATAACATTGAAAAATTTGACAAAATATGTGAATGAACACAGACTGGAGTGGATGAAAGAAGTTGCGAAAATTGAAATGGAACTTGGTGCAGATGAAAATGTTATTAACAAAATGTTTAAGCAATCAAAATTATCAAAATCTACTATATCTATACTTGTGCAAAAACTTGGTTGGTCATTAAAAAAACGTCAAGAGAAACATATTCGATAAAAATTCAGAAATCCGTATTCAACAAAGAATTGTGTATGCTGAACACATAGACTTTATCGAAGTGTTTAAATATCGTGTTGCATATATTGACGAAGTGGGCTTCAATTTGAATCAAAGAAGGAGTAATGGTTATTCGCTTATTGGAAAGTGTTGTAGTGTAACTTTAAACCACATCAGAAAACCCAACATAACAGTGTTTTGTATGATGGTTCCTGAAAAGAAACTTGTTTTTCGAATTACAAAAAAAAGTTCAAACAAAAATTTTATTGATACAGTTGAACACGTCTTTATTCCTCAATTTCAAAAGTGGTGTGGAGACTGTTTTTTACATTTGATTTTAGATAACGCATCAATCCATAAAAAACAATGACTGAACTTAGTCGAAAATATGGTATTTATGTTACATTTCTTGTACCTTACAGTCCCCAATTAAATGCCATAGAAAAATGTTTTTCTATAGCAAAATCTTATTTGAATCAAGTATTGATGGATGATTCTGTTTTTAACGAAGCGATAAAAACATCAAGAAATTATCAACATTTTTTAATTAATTGCCATATACCAAGATCAATTAATAATGATTTTTTTTTCGTGTTTAATCACAGCGTCTCTTCTTAAGATAACTGAAGAACACACTTCTAAACTTCATCTAAAAAGAGCAGAGTGGATTTCAAGGGCAAGAGAAGGAGTTTATTTTGACAATGATGACACATGCAATAAAAAAGTGATTGAAGTCGAAGTTCCGGTGTTTGAAGATCAATCCGCAATGCATATTGAAAGTGGAACCTATTATTTGGCAACTGTTACATATTTGAACCGGGTTAATGCAGTCCACGTACTTTCCGATTATATTATACAAGTTGACGACACGAATTGTACACCATCTGCACAAATTTCTATTTGATAAAGCGTATTTTGTGAAAATACGCTTTATCAAATAGAAATTTCTCCGGTGTTGGAAGATACCAACAACATACATGAATTGATGACCGAAAATAACGAATGTTCAAAAAACTTGGTGTTGACTTGTAGTGACAAACAAGATTTTCACTTTCATTTCGAAATTGACGAAAATACATACAGTCAAAATAAAATAATAGATTGTGATTATGAAGCAAACAAAACTGTCGATACATTAGAATTATCTGACATACATATTATTAATGAACAATCAACAACATATATAAGTCAAATGGAAATTGATGATCCCGGCAACAAAATCAACTGGAAAAATGTTCGACAACAACACTATTCTTTAAATTCTATGTTTGAATATTTAGTGTTTTTTAACTCAAGAAGTGACATCAAAGAATTAATCGAAATAATTAAAACGCAACGATTGAATACATTAATACTTAATGCATTTTGTTTTTGGACAAAATTGAGAAACCTTTATGAGTGGGGTAATCCTGTTTTTTTGTTTGATTGGGATAACTTCTGGGATGGAGTGATAAACGAAGAAAGAATAAGAGGACAGATGGATGAAATTATCGACGAAGATGTTATTCTTATTCCTGTGTATTATGCAGAACATTTTATGTTAATTGGTGTATTTCTTAAACATTAACCTTTTTGGCCACTTTCAATAGCTATGAAGGGTGTGGAATCACGTTTTTAAACCAAGTTGTATTGTTCATTAAAAATGAATTTATTAAACGAGAAGTATATAAATGGGTTGATGAAATTGAGAGAGTGATAGTACCAGAACAACAAGATGGAATTTCATGTGGTTCATTTGTTTCTTATTTCATGGAAACCATTTGTTCTCGGTATTTGAAAACCGTCGAAGAATTAAATAACACTTTTACATTTGAAAAGGCAGTGAATTTTAGAAATGAAATACTTTTGATAATGAGGGAAGACTTTGCCTACAAGGTAATGTGTTTGCTTAATTGATATTTTCTTTTTTGTTTTATGATTAAGTATTGTTATTGTTTAATATTATAGTATTTAAATTGTTTTTTTAAATTCCCAAAACTACTTCAATCAACAAAAAAAGCTAAATATATAAATAAAAGGGGGTATCGTTGATTCTTTAACTTGAAAAGGAATATTTAGTGTGTACTTTTTTAAAACACACATTTGAATATTACTTTTTCAATTTTTGAAATATCACCAAAATGTTTTACTAAAAAAATAATTATAATTGATTATTTTGGGGTATAATAAAAATCGTATTGTTATATTTTAGTTTAAAATCAATTTTTAAAATCGAAAATAAACCTTGTTTCGAACAACCCATTTTTCAACCCATTGTAATTCGAAAAAAGTTTGAACCATCTTCTTGGTTTTTTAATTTTTTTTGTTATAGTGTTCAAATATATAATAACCAAATCAACTGTGTTTATTCACTTTTAGAAATTTTTAGATGATCTATTAAATGGTTAAAAGGTTATTTTTGTTATCAGTTTTGTTATTGTTCATATGGTTTTTAAATAGTCATATTAATTATAATATTTTTTTGTTCTTTTTTCCTGTAAGTTGTAAACATTATAAACTAAAAAAGTTATTAAAAAATAAATAACGTTTTTAACATGATTTTATTGTTTATTTTAAGATCACCAGAAAATTGTCGTACACTTGGTTTTTAAAGTACAAGTGAACGACATTTTTTTATTTTTCCAGTATTTTTCTATAAAATTTTTTGAAACCTGTTTTTTTCCAGAATGTTCAAACGAATTATAATTGTAAAAATTTATTCCTGTTTTTTGTTTTATTTAATTATTAATAATTTATTTTGAACTTTTCCCCGAAATTGCACAATTATTTTTATTTGTTAATTTTTTATTTTCCTATAATTTAATGACAATTTGCAACTGATTCTGAGATTAATTGATTTTTAATTAAATGTTAATTAATTTATTTAAACAAAATAAACTATCATTGAATCTATAAATATTTTACTATTTGTCAATTATATATATTTATATCTAAAAATAAACACAAATTTAATCAATAGATAACTTGTTGAATTTTAAATAAAAATACATTTCTGTGACTTTCTTTGTTGTGTTTCTTATTTGTAATAATTAATAAAAAACCGACTGTATAATAAAAAATAGTGTTATTGTTTAATGTCATTTTTGTTCAACAAAAATATGATATTTGTAATAGTTATAATAGGTTTGTGTTAGGGTACTAATTAATTGTTTTATTCTATTATTTAAGTATATTGAAATTAACAGAACACTATCAGTTTGTTGTGTTTGTTGATAGACAATTTTATATTTATTTCTTGACTTTTCAAAAATCAGTTACTTTTGAATTTAAGTAAAAAAACATAAAATATATAAAACTAATTAATTTAATTATTTTAATATATACAATTAAATACAATAAAACAAAAAACCAAAAATCGTTTAGTGAACACATTGAAATTCACTAAAATATACTACCCAATTAAAACTACCACAACATAATAACATTGCAATTTATTTT